GGTGTAACCTGGATCATTATGCCATGTATACCATATAAAACTGTACCATAGAAAAATTCTGCCATTCGTCTCCAGTACTTTCGGAGATTCGGAATAGCAGAAATACATGACTTTACAAAGCGTTGCGAAAAAGAGTTCAGAGTGACGGACTTTTATCTTTACAACTTAGATGTACAGCAGAATATAAAACAAAAAGGGCGTTTTCGTTGAAATACTGATCGTCTTGGTCGCTCACCCGGAAGTCACAATATGATCCAATTGTAATTCCAAAACAACGATCGCAAACTCTTAGGTTATCTGGAAAACCTCACTTGCACTTACGTCCGAATAATTAGGCAAATAGATAGGCCAAATCATCACTATGAATAAGTAGCCAAATTAGACAATGACCTCTGACCTTTTGGAAACAAAGTGATCCCGACGAGGCATGCAACTGATACACTACCAATGGGCAGCTTCAGGTCATATCAAGTACGATAACTGAATTTTAGGGAAGTGATATGAAGGGGTCTATGGAAAGTAACTTCTCTGAAGATGCTCCTACACACCAGAATAAGTACACAATCATCTGCCATGCTATTTCGAAGTTTATTACCATCAGAGCTTCGTCACGCGGTCACATTCTTGTTACGGCTGAGAACATTCGCAACAAGAAAGAGGTGATTCTGAGGCAGACCGCAGACACACGAAGGAACGAGACTGCTTATAGGAGCAGACCCACTGATTATCGAATTTACACCGCATCTTACATGGCGTATTCAGTAGAGGAACGGTTCAAAGCCCAATGCGCATCACTGATGACTTAAACACCCAATATCGAAAGATCAAGTCATTTTGTCAAAATTGTGTCAATAGTTGCACCTATAATAAAGTTGCTCTTTACGAAGTACGTCTCTTCTACCAAATTGCTTTTCATAATGATCTAGGAAGTCGATAAGATGATTTAAACAGATATGGCCATTAAGATAGGATCAAACTTGGTGTAGTTATCCTATCACATTTTGTTTTATTTTGACTGTTTTATTTATAACTGTCAATGTTGCTTCTTTTGTCAATTGAACCGTGCTGATTCAAAGATGTTTCTTTTCCGATGGTTTGCTTCCGTGCGGACGATGGTGCTCGGAGCCACTGCAGCTACCTCCTATCATATTCCACTGTTATTACCATAACTGAATATGCGCTACTCGACGATCTGTGTCGCATCAATTTTTCCTCTGTCGTACAAATGTTGAGAGTACAAAATTTCAGTTAACTAAAGACGATCTATTAAATACTACTACTACAGCTTAATATAACAGAAACACTTGGTTGACAAGATTTACGTACTCTTCAGTTATATGACTGCCTTTAAACAGAAATGAAGTTCTTGCTACTTCAATATCTTGAATATTTCTGTTTGTACGAAGTCATGTGTTTTCACGACGAACATTCAAAGTGCCTTGGAACCATAAGACTTCCCATCAAGACATATTCTTCAGGTAACAAACCGGTAAGATTGTAGTTTATAATTTTTTAAAAACTAAGTAACTGCATAAATAAAGAATCAGCAGGCAACCCGTAATTCTGCTGCATTTCCGTTTTGTAGTGTTTCAAAAACCATTTACCAAGATGGAATATAATGGAAGGTAATGGTCCTCAGTTCTTTACGTGGCACTCGAGTCGAAAAACTGTAGAGGTCTGAGGATATTCGCCCTGCAAGGCCGTATATTAATAACCTGAAGTGAAAGGTCGTTATCCAGAAATGAGACACGTTTCCATATTGGCGAATATAACTGACCAACGCTAAAGAAGGCGAAGACGCATGAGAGGAAAAAACGCAATAAACATCAGTTTCAAAATGCGAAAAAGAAGGAAGACTGGGCTCAGATGCGACGATAAGCGGTTTGTGTACTGAGTCTAAACAATGATGATACCGTTTAATCAGTGAGTAACCTCAAGAACCTTGACTTCAGCACCGTATAAGAATGAATTTAATGATATCGTTGAACAATATGCTGCCAGCGGAGCCTACTACCATACAACGTAGTTCAGACATAACGTCCAATACTGCCCTGTAACGTCCAGTAAAGTCGTTATCTCGAACAATGCACTGTAAACAGTTTCCGGAGCAACGACGACGACCACGTTTTTGAATCGATGCCGTAGACCGATGAAGCTTTCATCCTCACCGCGGTCACGGATTGCACTCGGAGTTAACGACGTCATAAATGGTCATTGGCAGATGATTAATTACGATGTTTAAGTGACGTTCAGGTCTTAATTAAATATACCGTTTTCCACTGGTTTCTTGAACGGTTTAGATACTGGCTTGTCACATATTAACAAGCTTAGTTAGCAGGGTAAAAATTTTCTAAAATGCTCAGAAAATAACACTTCATACATTTTTGAATTTCAAACATTTTGTGGTAATTATTAAGCCAGATTCGTGAAAGTGGTTAACTGCGGAAAAATATCTAAACTGATGACTGGCGCCCGACATGTTCGGCTCCATACAATAATGGAAAACAATGCTACTTTAAGATCCAAATTTCGGCACAACGAATAGCGGTGCATGTAGAAGCAACGGATCGTTAAAATGCATCGAGTAAACAAATGCTCGTTATTCCATTGTCGACTCTTTTCATATACCTTACGCCTTTCCACCCTTCACTTTTCACAGTGAACGTTTTTCATGACAGAGTTACGCATTAATCACCTGAGGACAAAACATGAAAAAAAAAATCAGGCCTTAAGGATGAGGTTGAGAGCCGTTTTCTTACTCGAAAAGTATAATATTCACGACGCTGTCAGAAACCTGTCTCATGAATAATTAGCGTAGAACGAATCACAAAGAGGTCATTTTGATCATTTTGCTTTTTATGCGAAACAGCAACTTTTCTATTGTATCAGCTCATTTTGAACATTCTATATTAAAACAACGGTCATTCTGTGATGCGTTCATTATGAATAAAGCAGAAAACATGAAGGGAAGCATATTCGTCAGGATTTCTCACTTATCCACGTAATTATGCCTCGGGCAAGACACATTCGACGGCAAAAAATCACTCAAGCCAACACAATGAGAGACTGCCAGTGACCAGCAAAACACAAAAATCAATCAATCAATCAATGGGTAGGTGACGACGGCGCAGCGAGCGAAAGAAAGATTTATGAGTACCAATAAAGTGAAAGCACGCAGTCAGCAGCCGAGAGTTGTCTTGATTGTTTTTTTTTATACAGGTCAGTCGATGAAGTGCCAAAACATAAGGAAAAGAGAAAAACTGTAAAACAGACAAAAAAGTGGAAGAGAAAACAGTGGAGATGAGTAAAGAACACGGGACGAGAGGAGACAAGAGAAGACCAGCAGAGGGAAAAACGTGAAACGAGCTGACTAAAGATTACAAGAATTTCAGCTGTTACATCTGTCAGTGATCTTCTCTATACTTCAGTTCTTGCTGGGTTTCCTGGCTATTCATCTGATGTTCCACTAATCTACGTCTCGTTTCCTACATTCTTCAAACCGTTATCCCACTGCTTTTGCCAATGCCCCATACGAACGAACGTCGTTCAGGGTGTCGAGTTGTCAGTTGGGCATGGGAGCATGACAGCCTTAACTGTCGGCGTCAAACCGAGACAATGAACAAGGCAGTAGGAGGATTAGAAAAGCCCAATTCTGTTTGCAAAGGCGTTCTTCAATTTACTGCGATATACTTTAAGGCAATCTTCGAAACCTACCTCATGGTATATCATTTCTGCTTCTGGAGGTTAAAAAATTCTACGTTAATCGGTATCGCTGAGGCGTTAATAATTAGGTTAATAACGTTGCCCCAATACCTATCAACCTAAAGTTACCATTTCGAACGGTCAGACATAACAAATTTGAGCTACTCTGCTGTTTAAAGTCCGTTAGTGTCATATGACTATAACAAAACAATGGCAGCACGCTAATAGAACAGTTTATTCGCATCAAATTACGATTTATTCAACGGCTTACCGAACCTTGGTGGTTCAGCACTCAACTGCTGTTTAAAAGGGGGTTAGCGAAGTATTAATCTTGCGAAGAAAACAATAATACGAGATGCGTCGATGCAGAGCGCATGGAGCCTAAATCGGTCTGTCAGCGTCCATCAACAGCAAAGCAAATCGTACCCGTATCAGAAAGTGCCAACGAGTATTTTGTTGTATTACATTTTCTTGTATTTTCGGTGCTACGTTAATTCTTATTAACTCGATCGTAATTCCTGACTGTCTAAAGCAAGTACATACTGCTGGGACAGAGACGATAGTTGTTGATCATTGAAGAGGTGGCATACTCGTGTGGGTTTACACAAAACAGCATCACAAATATTTAACTCTTCCAAGACCAAATTTCACGGCGCATCGTTCCGTACCCAGTTCGTCGCTGCTTGTTAAAACACTATGCCATAGCGTGCTAACCGTTATTCTTGGCCGTTTAGCGAAAGTATCAGTATCTCGAAAAAATCACACTACTTACGTGTAATCACAGTTAGGAGGAGCGACAAGTAATGTCGAGGAGGAGGAGGAACACGACCAGCATGGGAACCGCGGCCTCTTCCAGGGTCAACATCTTGACAGCGATGATGGTCACTGGCATCGCCCAGATAGCGCTCATTCATCGTGCAGCAATCAGAGACCAAAGCGACCAAAGAGCCGCCACCGCCGCTGCCACCGCCGCCGCCGCCGCCGCCGCCGCTTGACGACCACTGCCAACAGCGAGCTGTAGCAAGTTGCGGTGTAGTAGTGAGCCTAGAGGGGCGCTGGCAGAATGGTGGAGGAGAACGGCCAGCAGAAGGCGGGTTCGAAATCGAAACTTCTTTCTGTTTCTGTAGTTCTTCTTCGACAAGTTCTTCATCCTGTTGTCTGTCGCAATCGGCATACCTCCTGAGCTGTTCGCATCGCTCTCTTTGTTGAAAGAGGCGCGCCCGGCAACATCCGCATTGCGAACGACAAGGGAAAAGATAGCCATCGGTTTGGTAAGGGGGACAGTAGGCACTGAGGTGCGAGGTCGACGAAAAGAGACGTCCCTCGTCGCCGCCGCCGCCGCCGTCGTTGACAACGGCGCCACCAATAAGTGATTCATTCGCGCGCATCATCGCCAAAAAAGTCAAAGCTGTTCTTTTGCCGCATTTCAAGCAATACAAGAACGGCACGGCGAACAACAGGACTTAGACTTGGACAAGAAACAAACGGTGGGTGGGAACACACGAAGAGATGCGAGCTGCAATGCTGTTGCAGGTTTTGACCTCGATGGCCGGCGACACTCAGAACCGTAACATAACAGCAGGAGCACCACAACGACGTACGTTCGGACCGTGCGACATATGACATTGAACATGCGGCGCATTTGCGTTACGTACGTCGCCACGGCGACGTCGCCGACCAATCGGCTGGCGAGAGGACGAACTCTGAGCGAAAACGACCAATCGAAGCCCGGTGACGGGACACACATTACTGACAGTGCCATTTGCCTGGCGATTGCTACACGAAAGCTTCGAGTCTCGGAGTCGCCAGGTACCTCAGTTGCTAACCCAACCTCGCATAGATCACCCCCGTCCAGCCAAAACATACAACAGCGCTTCAGTGGTCTGGCAATATCGTTCAATGACGACACGACTTTAGACAATTGCGGGCTGCTTAACCGCCTTGCCATATTTTGGATGTCGTTGACATGTGTCACCTCACCTCTTGGGTCACGGAGAGAAAAACCATCGATTTTTTACCACCAGCTCCTGATCGAAGTCTGGAATTTTTCATGACACGTTTCGCAAAGCTGCGTTTGTGCATACGCTCGAGGCCGGCGCAGAAAAAAGCCACCCGCTGATGTCGCCGACGGCCGACACATGGACTCACGTGTAACATCGCGTCGCGTACCTGTTGTCCTTTGCCAGGCAGTGGTGGCGATGACAGAAGGCCGATGCTCTTTCGCTGGTCCGTTTCATCTTCGATATTCTTCATGTGATGCCTTGACTAAACGGCAGTTAGACACACCAGCCGACAAATCCTTCAGCCTACCTCTTCCGCCTCAATGAAGCTTAGCCACGTCAGCAAAGAAACGAGGACCGAAAGCTTACCTTCGATAACTGTGATACTCAATGTTCAGTTCTGTGACGTACCGAGTATCTGTGAGAAGGTCGCATCGACATATTTCCATGTTTAGCTAGTATGGAATGCGTTGTGATAGTGGGCTCCCAACTGGAATTCCCGAGGTGTCGAGTTAGGATTCTCGCGGCGGGCAATCTTTGACTTTAATACGAATTACGTTCAGCTAGTAAATTACCAAACGAATTTCAGGCCGCGGTTACTTCATCAGTAATGCATCGGACTGAAAGATCAACAAAAAAATCCCAGGTTCGAGTCCCGGTGGAACGGTTCACTCGCATTTCTTTCTTCTGTGGTTAATAAAAATGAGTACGACTTTAACAAACCAGCAGGAAGGAAACAAGTGAATACAGTCGCTGCCTGTCACATAGCTGCAATCGATTCCGATTTCACACAAAAATAAGTGATTTCTGCCTGATTACATGGCATCCAGATTAGCGCCCCCTCTATTAACTTCATGAAAACAAAGGTGCGATAATTGGCCCCCAATATACAAGTCCAAGGAAGACTGACATTCCAACGGCTATGAATTTTCTTTCCTTTTTCTAGCCACAATTTAAGCAATTCGCCCAGCGATTGCCATATAAAAAACGAAGACTTCCATCTTCATTCTCTCTCTGAGAGCAAGAAAGTTTGCAACCGTTAGAATGACAAAGGCGTCTCTTTCTGAAATATTTCGACAGCGTTGGGCTACAGGCAAATCGGATCAAGTCAGAAAAGCGGTAAGAACACTGACCTAAAAAATTATCCCAAGAAGTCAAAGACGATCGATGCCCGGACCAAACTCAGAGAACTGTTAGATAAATAAACATGTTGTGCACTAATGTCAGTGAGTGAAGCATGAACAAAAAATTGGGTTTATTCTAAAGTAAGCGTTTCTAGCAACGGTCCATCAGCGATGACACGATGCAAGCCGGGAAAGTTGACCCTTGAACAATACTGATACTGAAACTTTCACACGCGTGAAGCCATTGAATTAGATTCTACTTAATCATTATTATTCATACACTTGTCATCTACTTATTCAATCAATTTCTCGATCTTCACCACCTTCATTTTCATCGTTATCTTTATGGTCATTTTCATGATCTTCATGTTAATTTCATACGATCAATCATAAACGTTTTCTTCATCATTAGTTTCCTCATCTTGATCTTCACCATCTCCATCCTCATGATCTTGAACCTCATGGTTAACTTCATGTTCTTCATCATTAGTCATCTTCTTCACTTTGAACGGATACTTGTTCAAAACTTTCAAATTTCTCTGATTGGGAATCGTTTGCTAAACAGAAAGCCCTAGCATTAAACGCAAATTCCGGAATCACCTATGAAATGCCGATTTGGACTTACCTCTCGGGATCATAAATTGCGTTTGCACACTCACAATTTAATTTTGTGCTGACAGACACGGACATGCTCCCAGTGTTCAATCAATAAAATACATTCAACATTTAAAGCTGTTTGCTACGAGAACATGACCTGAACTTACACATGCGACTTTGATGTTCTTAGAAAGTAACCCCGTATAAGCTTTGGCCATGATAAATTTAATATGCAGAACGCATACTCTATAAAATTCGCTAGCTTAAATATCAATACCTCAAAGCCATCTCATTCATAACATTCAACGACTGCATCTCAAATTGACGACAGGCTGACTGCTCATAATACATATTTTATAACCCTGGAAGGCTTAGCTACAATATTCTGAATATGTAAGCCAACAAAAA